GAGGGCTGAGGCTGAGGCTGAGGCGGTGGCTGAGGCTGAGGCAGGCTGAGGCTGAGGCTGTGACTGCGACTGCCGTTGCCACTGCGACTGTCATCGCGAATGCGACTACGACTGCGAGAACAGCAGAATTCTACAACTGGATTATCATCTGAATCTGAAGGGGAATGCTTCCAGATATGCTCCTACACATCGCTGTTAGGTTGCTTTGCCGGGATAATCATATAACAGCGAAGACTGATAGGTTTCTAGTGGTGTCAAAAGAGAGCATCTTGACTCCCCAGGGGGGTCTGGGCGGGATCCGGACGGGATCCGGGGGAATCCGGACATCCGCGCCTGATACGGGCGAACTCAGTCGGGGGTGCCGTGGGTGCCCGCCTGATATGGGGGAACTCAGTCGGACGGGTGCCGCGGAAATCTGGGGACTCCTTTTTTAGCCAACAGTAAGCCAATTCGTGCTCTTCGAGTTCCCAGAACTCCATTCCTGGGCATGATTTTGAATGCCCGGAGCCAACTGTAGGCCACTTCGTGTTCTTCGAGTTCCCAGAACGCCATTCCTGGGCATGATTTTGAATGCCCGGAGCCAACTGTAGGCCACTTCGTGGTCTTCGAGTTCCCAGAACTCCATTCCTGGGCATGATTTTGAATGCCAGGAGCCAACTGTAGGCTACTTCGTGGTCTTCGAGTTCCCAGAACTCCATTCCTGGGCATGATTTTGAATGCCCGGAGCCAACTGTAGGCCACTTCATGTTATTCGAGTTCCCAGAACTCCATTCCGAGGCCACATTTTGGTAATGGCGAGGGCAGGCTGAGGCTGATGCAGGCTGAGGCTGAGGCAGGCTGAGGCTGAGGCCGAGGCTGAAGGCAGATTGAGGCTGAGGCTGAAGCAGGCTGAGGCCGAGGCAGAGGCAGGCTGAGGCTGAGGCTGAGGCAGGCTGATGCTGAGGCAGGCTGAGGCTGAGGCTGAGGCTGATGCAGGCTGAGGCTGAGGCCGGCTGAGGCTGAGGCCGAGGCTGAAGGCAGACTGAGGCTGAGGCTGAAGCAGGCTGAGGCTGAGGCAGAGGCAGGCTGAGGCTGAGGCTGAGGCAGGCTGATGCTGAGGCAGGCTGAGGCTGAGGCTGAGGCTCATGCAGGCTGAGGCTGAGGCAGCCTGAGGCTGAGGCCGACGCTGAAGGCAGACTGAGGCTGAGGTTGAAGCAGGCTGAGGCTGAGGCTGAGGCAGGCTGAGGCTGAGGCTGAGGCAGGCTGATGCTGAGGCAGGCTGAGGCTGAGGCTGAGGCTGAGGCTGAGGCGGATGCAGGCTGATGCTGAGGCAGGCTGAGGCACAGGCTGAGGCTGAGGCCGAGGCTGAAGGCAGACTGAGGCTGAGGCTGAAGCAGGCTGAGGCTGAGGCTGAGGCAGGCTGAGGCTGAGGCTGAGGCAGGCTGATGCTGAGGCAGGCTGAGGCTGAGGCTGAGGCTGATGCAGGCTGAGGCTGAGGCAGGCTGAGGCTGAGGCCGAGGCTGAAGGCAGACTGAGGCTGAGGCTGAAGCAGGCTGAGGCTGAGGCTGAGGCAGGCTGAGGCTGAGGCTGAGGCAGGCTGATGCTGAGGCAGGCTCAGGCTGAGGCTGAGGCTGAGGCAGGCTGAGGCTGAGGCAGGCTGAGGCTGAGGCCGAGGCTGAAGGCAGACTGAGGCTGAGGCTGAAGCAGGCTGAGGCTGAGGCTGAGGCTGAGGCTGAGGCTGAGGCTGAGGCTGAGGCAGGCTGATGAGGCTGAGGCAGGCTGAGGCTGAGGCTGAGGCTGATGCAGGCTGAGGCTGAGGCAGGCTGAGGCTGAGGCCGAGGCCGAGGCAGACTGAGGCTGAGGCTGAAGCAGGCTGAGGCTGAGGCTGAGGCAGGCTGAGGCTGAGGCAGGCTGAGGCTGAGGCTGAGGCTGATGCAGGCTGAGGCTGAGGCAGGCTGAGGCTGAGGCCGAGGCTGAAGGCAGACTGAGGCTGAGGCTGAAGCAGGCTGAGGCTGAGGCTGAGGCAGGCTGAGGCTGAGGCAGGCTGAGGCTGAGGCTGAGGCAGGCTGAGGCTGAGGCTGTGACTGCGACTGCCGTTGCCACTGCGACTGTCATCGCGAATGCGACTACGACTGCGAGAACAGCAGAATTCTACAACTGGATTCTCATCTGAATCTTAAGGGGAATGCTTCCAGATATGCTCCTACACATCGCTGTTAGGTTGCTTTGCCGGGATAATATCGTCCGCCTTCTTCCTCAGATTTCTCCTCATCCTGCTCGATCTGCCTTCCCCCGGTCCTCATCATCACTCTCCTCCCCTCTCCTCAGGGAAGAGAGGGAGGCGAGCGGGAGAACAGGGGGCGGCGGCGGGGAAGGGTGCGGGGAGGGGATCCCGCAGAGGGACCCCGTGCGGTTCGAAGATGACCCCAAGATTGCTCAATCTGAGCAAATCTGAGCATAATCTGTCCACCACTCGCAACCGCCGCCATTGGTCCCTATTGCTTCCTCCGAAGTGTCCGCACAAGTTGCCTGCACTACTAACTGATCTACCTCCAGCATGCCAGCGGGTACCCCGTAGGATCAACGATCACGATGAAAAGGTGCGAATGGATAGTAGCACAAAGCAGTGCCAAACTAGTAATTGTTACGAGAGGCTGGAACAGCTATGACATAATATGATACACTTGGAAGCACTGGAGGTAATTCAACATGAACGATGACGACGAGCCCCCTATCGGAAGGCGGTCCGGGCTTCTTCTCCTTTCCCTACTGTTTCCGACTCCTGCACTCTTTCCTCATCTTCTATCGTCCGACTTCTTCCTAAGATTTCTCCTCATCCTGCTCGATCTGCCTTCCCCTGGTCCTCATCATCACTCTCCTCCCCTCTCCTCAGGGAAGAGAGGGAAGCGAGGGGAAGAACTGGGGGCGGGGGCGGGGAAGGGTGCGGGGAGGGGATCCCGCAGGGGGGCCCCCTATAATTCGAAGATGACCCCAAGATTGCTCCAGGAGTGCTTCAAGACGCGCCCCGATGAACCTCGATATGCTTCGTTTCCAAATGTACACGCATACATCTATTTTAAGACACATACAAGAACCATCGCGCACGCTTCGCACGCGGCGTTCTTTGACGCCCTCCAGCGCCAGCGCGGGGTCGTGGCGGCCTCTTGGGACCCCTGGAGCCCCCTGGAGCCTTCCCAGGGCATCTTCAGAATCCCTAGGGCTGTCGGAGCAGCCTTCAGCCTCGTCTTGAGGGCGTCGTTGGGGTATCTTGGGCCGTGTGAGGAGCGTCTGGGGCCCCTCCTGGGGGAGCTCCAGGACACTTCTTAAGCTATGTTGAGCCCTCCTGGGGGGGCCATCTTGGGGCCCGCTTGCGGTACCAGGCGGCGTAAAACACCCGGGCAGGAACTTTGTGACTTGGTTTGACTTTGGCTCGGGAGGGCCAGCGTCAAGCCACAACCCAAGGCGGACACCCATCTCCCCTGTCCACTCAGATTTTGCCCGGACGCGGCCACAGCGCTCCCAACTCGAGGGGCGCGGGCAGATCTGGAGGGCTACGCCCTCTGCTGGCAGCCCCCCTCGCGGAACCATGTAGGGGCCACGTTGGGACGACCACGGGTCATCGCTGGGCCCTGTCGTTGGGGTCATGTTCGGGTTTATGCCCCTGAGGGCCACACGCGTTTGGGGGGGGGGCACTCTAAGATCGCCTCGAAAGGTATTGGGGATTCTTCGTGGCAAGACGGAAGTCGGGAGGAGGAAGAGGGACGAGAGAAGAGGGAAGGAACGGGGAACAGGGAATAGGGAGGCGGGTTGAGGGAGGACGAAGAGTGAAGCAGGGTAGAACGAGGGAGACAAAGAAGGTAGGAAGGAGGAGAGGAGGCAGGAGGAGCAGGGGAAATAGGAGGGAGAAGAGAGAAAGAAAAAGGAAAGAGGGAGACGAGGCCGGATTCGGAGATGACATGGGTGCGGGCGTCGGGCTGCTGGGCGTCGGCGCCTCGATTGGGACAAGCACTGAGGAGGCGAGCTGGCGCGCCATGAGGAGGCGGGCCGAACTGATACATGAGATGTTGAATGAGGCGGGCGTAGGACACACAAATATGCGCACGTGTACATGTGGCGGGCAAGCAGAATAACATCGCGCGTGCAGTAGACGCACACTTGCCAGAGCAGCGCGCGCGCTTTTCGGTTCTAGCGAAAACCAGGGCGGCCACACAACCTCGTGTGAGCACGGGTCCAAGGGTCCAAATCCGACACGATCACCGTCTGGGGACCCCACTTTACAGCCGCCGACGCGATCAGCGTGACCGACGCTCCACGCTGGACAGTGCTTTCCATGAGAGCAGCGTGACGTAGGAATCTGAAAGAAGGTGGGTGGAGAAGGAGACGCGCCAAACGCGCCACGCGCATCATGCGCATGGCGCCTCCCAAGGAGCCTCCAAAGGACCCCAAGAGGCAGACGAGCGCATGTGAGGACAATGAAAAGGAGCGCTCCGAGCCGTTGAATCGCCACCCTCGCCACCCCCGCATGCGCAACACATGTCTCCGGCTGTGAAGTCGCTGTCGTCGTACAAATAGTCATATGCGCAATACTGAGCATAATCTGTCCACCACTCGCAACCGCCGCCATTGGTCCCTATTGCTTCCTCCGAAGTGTCCGCACAAGTTGCCTGCACTACTAACTGATCTACCTCCAGCATGCCAGCGGGTACCCCGTAGGATCAACGATCACGATGAAAAGGTGCGAATGGATAGTAGCACAAAGCAGTGCCAAACTAGTAATTGTTACGAGAGGCTGGAACAGCTATGACATAATATGATACACTTGGAAGCACTGGAGGTAATTCAACATGAACGATGACGACGAGCCCCCTATCGGAAGGCGGTCCGGGCTTCTTCTCCTTTCCCTACTGTTTCCGACTCCTGCACTCTTTCCTCATTTTCTATCGTCCGACTTCTTCCTAAGATTTCTCCTCATCCTGCTCGATCTGCCTTCCCCTGGTCCTCATCATCACTCTCCTCCCCTC